ATTTTCACAGTGGGCCAAAATCCCAGGAAAACGTCCCCCGTGCTTTAATTTCTGCGTTTATAATACTCAAGTTTCAAATTAACTTCTATTGTAATAGATAGAGCCAGAAAAATGTTACAAAAGAGAAATGTTTTTATTTTGAAGTCGTTGCGGGGTAGATAAAGACAAAGAAGGAATTTATTAATTTTGAATTCTGTTCAGGAATGAAATTACCTTTACCAGGCGGATTGATATTTTTTTAATGACTTTTGAGGGGAATAACATAGAGGGCTCCGATTTTCACCGTTAGAAAGAGAAGATGAAGATGTATCAAACCACATACAAAAAGAGTTTTCGGACTGCTTTTCTAAGAGTTTTAATCTAACTTTCTAAAAGAATAGCTACTTTCTGATATGTCTGACAAAGTGATTTCCATCAAAATGCAACAAAAACAAAGATTGTTTCAATTACTTTCTTCGAAAAACGACGTGATAAGTTATACTTCAATGGCTAGAATATCCTATTGGTTGCAGCTAGGAATAGAATCTTTACGCACTTTTGTGGTTCTTCGGTTGGTGGTTCTAACATACTTCTGAAAAAAATGAATACCACCATCACAGATGGCATGTTGTTTTTCTAGAAAATTTACATGAACTCTTTGGGAAGCAGTTCGAAAACTCTTTTTGTGTGTGGTGTGATATATCTTCATCTCCTCTTTCCAGCGGTGAAAATCACAGCCCTCTATGTTATTCCCCTCAAAAGTCATTAAAAAAATATCAATCCGCCTGGTAAAAGTAATTTCATTCCGGAACAGAATTCAAAATTAATAAATTCCTTCTTTGTCTTTATCTACCCCGCAATGACTTCAAAATAAAAACATTTCTCTTTTGTAACATTTTTCTGGCTCTATCCATTACAATAGAAGTGAATTTGAAACTTGAGTATTATAAGCGCAGAAATTAAATTTCAGAAAGAGGTAAGTTTTTTTTGGACCATCCTGTATAATTATGCTAGTCACTAAAATTTGTGAAGTTTCTCGAAGTCAAAGCTGGAGTTACCAGAGTGGAAATTTTCTGAGTCAAAAAGTTTGACTTCATGTGGCTCGACAAGGTAGATGTTCAGAAAGAACGTTAGCTGAGTAAGTAATGCGATTGGTCACATTCGAAAGGTGACAAAAACATTGGTAATCAGTAAATAACGAATAATGATCCATTGAAATCTTTCTCATTTAGGTTTCATAAATCTTCGCATAATATTGTTCAACTCAAATTCGTAAAAAGTGTGCAGATTGAAATCATAATACGAGTCTCATGATTTAAAAAAAGTGCTCCTTACGTTGATAAAATACTTATTTAATACTTTCTTGGTTAGTTTTCACAAGTGTCGTTCAGTACTCCGACAACTATGTGCGCATATAATTTCTGTACCATAAAAATGACGTTTTGATCTTATAAATATTCTTTCTATTATTTCTTAGAGATGCTTATAATAAATGAATATAGAATTATTGAATATTTTATCTTGAACACTTCATAGTTTAGTTTTAAAATTTAAACTTTTTTATTTTGTAATAGCAGAATATTTCAAATTAAACGAAATCTCTATTTATTTAGATATTTCTTTATAAATTCGATGTGGTTAAAAGACGATTTCAAACGATATCATTATCTTGTGGTACTTCATACAATCTGCACTATAGCATTTGTTGTACGTTTCATTGTTTTATGTACGGATTTATCATCTGCTAAAAGTGATTCAATAGCTTTCCCTGTGATAATATTATTATTGGAATTAGGATCATCATTTATCACTCTTATTGGAAATTGTATCTATATTTTTCTTCGTTATCTTGGACCAATTTTATTTGAATCTGATCATGAAAAAGTTGGATGTTGTTCTCAATTATTTGCTTGGAATTTATCAACATTAACATGTTTTCGTTGTGAATGTTATCGAGAACATCCTCAACTTGTTTTAGTAACTCGATTAAGTATTTTAATTTTATTTGAAGCGATGCGATTTATAGCATTTATACTTGCTTGTGTATGTGCAAATAGATATGGACCAATAGGTTTAGGTTATTCGATATTGGCTGCATTTTCATTTGTTCCTGCTGTAATTTTATTAGTTGTTGAATATCTTCATCATCATCGCTTATGGTTTCATTATCGACCAGACACTTCATCGGAAGAAAAACCTCAATACATCAATGAACACAAGCGTTTCTTACCAATTGCAATGACAAATGATCAACAAACAAGTCATTGGCAAAATTCTCGATGTGACAAAGGAAAAGATTGTTTGTCACGAAATTTATATCATGTAATTATATATCATTCAGGAAACACACGCAATCCACCTGAACAAACAAAGGATAATCAAATTGTTGTTGGATTTCATCAAACAAGTCATGCTGCTGCTTGTTCTATTGCAAAGACACAGTTGAAACCTTCGAGCAATGGATGGATCGGACCAGGTATATATTTTGCAACATCACTTAATCATACAGAATTTAAAGCCAATCAATTTGGAGCATATATTTGTGCGAAAGTCGATTTAGGTAAAACAAAACGAATTACTCATCCTAAGGATTGGTCTTCAGGAGATCAATGTGACACAGTTTACTACGAACATCCTCATGGTGCTGATGAATTTTGTGTACAAAATGAACGACAAATTCGTTCTTGGATTATAGTCATTGATCAAGATCCAAATGTGCGTTTCTTACAAGAAAAAAATAATAAACCCCTACCATCCGGAAAATATGTTGAAGATCGATTAGAAGATATTGTTTATCAAGGATGTTGGCTTTAACTATTCAAAAACTATTTAACTATGAAATATTTCTTTTCAAAGAAATATTAATAAACTATAAGACTTCTTTTAAATTTTTGCTAAAATCAATAAAATGCTCTTCTCATTTGTAGTGTGAATAGAAAAAATATGACTTTTTCATTGTTAAAACAAAATGATGAATCGATTTGTAGACATATCTAATAATTAATTTAGGGTTGATAACGATTCATGCCTTCGAGATATGTTAATTAGACAAACTTTTTTCAACATAAAGGTAGTTAACTATGTTAACTTTTGAATGGATAGATACATTTTCATTTGTATTATGTAAAGCTTCCAGAATGAAATATTTGACTGACAAAAATACCGTGAACATGATAACTTCATACTGAGCTAAACGATTTCATTAAAATTATTTTCGTCAATCAAGATTCATAAATGTCGAACGATAACTGTTAGCATTAGTTTTAGACGAAGTAATGAAGATGAAAGTGAAAGAAAAGAAAAAGAGTGAGAACATACATAAGTCGTATCGAAGTTATACCGGTCAACGAAATTATAATTTCGTCAGACAAAATTGACGAAATTACTGTAATTCAACCAAATATATGGTTATTCATGTATGCTAACGATATTAATGCTTGTAACTAAAGACAGAGATTTGTAGAATACTATACTCTGATTTAAACTGTACATAACTAAATAATTGGAACATCACTCATACTAAATTTTATTCGAGGATATTTAGCGTTTTTTGTTGTGAACTTGATTATTCCTTTTCCAGTAAATGCAAAACTGAAAATGAAGATAAATGAAATCCTTTAGTGAAAATAAAAGTAAAGACAAGATCATGGTAAAACACCTAGTTCAAGGAGCAGAATCTCTGCTCTGGAATGTGGTTTTATTCTAGGACAGTCACGATATGCTATATACTGCAAAAGGTAGATCCGACTGTTTAAATAAATATAATAAATCTAGAAAATGAAGCTCTTATAAAATCTCGTCGATGGCATTCTAAGGTTGAAAGTTTCTCTTACTGCTGTATTTAGTACTATTATGGAGTTTGTCTGATATGTTCGTCTGTGAGGTTTGATTCACTAGTAGAATTTATATTTGACTGATCCATACGTAATTCTGAGACGTAGTATTAAGATATCCAATTAGGTGAAGTCTTTGTTTGACTTAGTATGAGTTTGACTCTGGTAAGAGTTTATCTGATATTTATATGTAGTATTTTTCTTATTAATCTAAAGTTAAGTGTTATTTAAGTCAGAGTATAGTATATATAAAACATTTATCATATGATCAAGTAATTGATAATTATTTTTTTATTTGGTTTAATTAAAGTAACTTCAATACAATATATATGACAGACAAATATAAAATATAGTGCTGGCCAAAATCATAAGAACAGACTGTTTTTTAGCGTTTTCATTACTTTTTCATATACTTTTTAAAAACTTTCCATGATTTGTGTGTCTAAACATATGCAATCAAGTGCGCTCTCTTCGACGGTGCATTCAGATTTCCTCATTTCAAATTGAAAATTTGAGAAAATGCAAATTTATTAATGTGAAAAACTCGAAAAATGCTACTGTTCTAGCTTAGTTCTTTCACTACTAGAACAAAAATATAGATGATTGTGCTTTTTTCACACGTGCATAAGATACGAGAGACTTTTTGTTACAAAATAAAACCTTTCTGCCAGCTCTGATAAACACTTCGTTAGAAAAATAACAAAACTTTAACGTTTAAAACACAAAAAATCCCCATTTTCAAGCCAAATTTCGTACAAAAAATACGTTTTCTTTTTAAACTGTTGTTATTTTTCTAACGAAGTTTTCATCAGAGCTGGGCGAAAGGTTTTATTTTGTAACAAAAAGTCTCCTGTATCTGATGCACGCGTGAAAAAAGCATACTCATCTATATTTTTGTACTGGTAGTGGAAGAACTAAGCAAGGACAGTAGCATTTTTCGAGTTTTTCACATTAATAAATTTGCATTTTCTCAAACTTACAATTTGAAATGAGCAAATCTGAATGCACCGTCGGAGAGAACGTACTTGATTGCATATGTTTAGACACACAAATCATGGAAAGTTTTTAAAAAGTATATGAAAAAGTAATAAAAACGCTAAAAAACAGTCTGTTCTTATAATTTTGGCTTGCACTGTATCCTTCTAATTTCAAAGCCTTGATTACATAGTATTAAACATTCAACAAGAATACAATAATAATAAACAAATTCTATTATTGTTCATACAATATTCACAAGAATTCAAACACTTGGATGCCAATGTAGTACTATCGTTATTCTCGATGAACGTTGATATTTTTTTCATTTCTATTTTGATTCAAAAATATTTATAAAGACTTCTTAAATGAACATGAATTAGCAAATGAATTGGTTATTTATGCTGATGCATAATTATATGATAGTAAGGAAAATGCTTTTAATTTAGTTTCTTATATATTTCTGATGACATTATATGTTCTTATTTCGGTAAAACTTAATTCATCAATGCACGTGTACAATTATGTCTACCCTTTGTTCTGATAATAACATATAATCAAGTTTTAGGAAACTATGGCAAATAAAACCCATTATCATTATCAAAATTATACGTATAAATTTTGTTGTCACTCTAAATCAATTCGATAAAAAAAAAGCAAAAAAAAAACTTTTAAATGAAATAAATTCTAATTGAAACACGAAACAATTAACAAAGGATTTTATATGACACCGTACTAATTGGTATACCTCTTTTTGTTTCATTTTTTTCACATATAAAGAAACAACTTTCTTTAATTAAGTAGAGCCAACAATGATGTATTTTCTGTCGCATAATGAATTTTTCTAGCGATATTTTAAAACCGTCAAAAAGACAAAAGAAAAATCTCTTATTCTGTATCCTTATGAATTGAAAAGATTATGATTTTGATGTAGAATTATGTTAAATAAAATACATTCTTATTATCATTAGTTTTATGCATTTTATTAATTTCACATGAAAACCGTGATCTTTTCTTGATTGAAATCAAATAATGGAACTGAAATTTAATTTAGTTCTTTCTTTACTTAGATTCATTCGTATTGTTACTTTGCACGATCGATTTTGAAATGGAACAACTTTTCATGTCTGTCGATAATTAACAACTAAGAAGAATGGATAACAACAAGCAAAACTTGACATTTTTTGTATTATGAAACATGATCTAAAAGGAGTGTTGAAATATAGAGATGAATATTTGAGCCCTCCCTACGCGTCACAGACTGTATATCAATAACATCTCGTTCTAATATATAAACTACTTCCTTATTGCATTTCTCGAAAGTCAAGTAAAGGATGATGAAGAAATGTGTTCTAAAATAGATAGAATAAAATAATTTGTCTGTAATTAGCAACAGCAGCTACACCTTGTTTCACACTTTAATCCTGCAGAGATTGATCTAGCAGTTTTTTTTTATTGAAACAACCGAAAGATAGAATTAAACATAAGAAGTTTTCTTGAAAATTTTCTAATATCAATTCATGAAAAGTCACTATACTATAATGACATTTTCTCAATTGGCGAAAATACATAGAAATGAAAATTCAAGAAATGCGTTCCAATAGGACTCTACTTTCGATAGTGTTGTCTGTTTCAATAATAGTTAAAAGCTTTCAGAACATATTTTAAAAAATATTCAATAAAATGTATTCAATTCTACACACTTTTAATCTACTAACATGTTCCAGGTTTGCTTTACTTCATGTCGAAGAAAAGAAAATTATAGTGTGAGATGTTTTATATTCAATGATGAGCCAATATAGACTCGAGTAAGGGCAACGTACATCGTAAAAAAAAAAAGAAAAAAAAAGACTAGTGAAAAGAATGCCGTCAACTTCTGAATCTCTTTCTTTCTATATTATATAATCTCGTGCTACATCATAAGTAAGTCTCAACTGAATACATGAATTAATTGAAGTAATATCATTACTGAGGATGGTAATGATACGACTTCTCTAGTTTATCACAATAGTATATTTTATCGTCATTCAATTTTCTAAGATACATACAAATTTTTAAAGTTTGAACAAGTTTTTGTGCAAATTTCTACTACATAAGTAAATGAAGCTTGAATATAGTACAAATAATAAATAAAATTTCTCTTTATTTTATTTTAAATGGTATTTTAATGATAATCGCAAAATAGTTTCAATAAAAGAAGCTTATTTCAACTTGTGTTTATGTTAATATAGACGAATTTTAATTAAAAAGTCGAGTTGTCTTTTATGTTTAACGGGACCATTAGTAAACGATCATGAAAAAATACTTCAGAATAAGACAACGACAGAAATAACTATTCATGATGTTTTTTCTTCAGGAAGACCATGTCAATTGTAACTTTTTAAATTAATTCTCTTTCAGATTCTTGTAGATAGCGTTTTCTTTTTTTTTTCTCTTTTTCCTTACATTTCAACAGACGATATTATCTTCTCCAGAACTAATTAACGAGCGAAGCATCATGAATGGGTACGTTTTGCATTTCATTTTTTCGTCACTTGATTTGTTTTATTAAAAAAAAACAAAATATACCACCAGATGCAGTATGAATAACTCTACAATTTACAAAAACAAGTTTATTTTCTATATGCACCTTTTCTTTTTAAAATTGATAAAATTCCGTGTGATCAATTTTTGATGCTGCAAACAATCATGGTTTTTACCTTTATCACATTGGATATTGTTGATGATAGTGTCTCATCTGTAATAATTCAAAAAATTAAAATCAGGACTATTTGGTGGGCATTTATGATTGTTAATGAATTCCACGAAATTTTCTTTACACCATGCCAACGATTCTTGATGTGTATGTGGTATGGCATTGTCTTCTTAGACGATGAAAACGTCATCTAGCAGCTATTTACCTTCAGATTGTGCATGTAGAAGAACAACTTCAATACAACTCTCGTGTGATAATGTTTCACCAGGTTTAAAAATAATTGGAGACGTAAGGCTATTATTAGAAGCATC